CTCGCTGTCCCAAAACACAGTGGCCATAATCTTTCCTGCAGATTTCTGAACACGAAATTTGCGAGGCGTTGGCGATCCCTTATGCTTCCACTGCATGGACTCCTGCTTGGTTTCCGGATCCCAGTGATGAACCCAAGTTTCATCACCAGTTACTATTCTGGGAAAAAAAAGTTTCCCCGATTTGTTTAGGAAACTCCAAGTTTTCCTTGTAGATGTCAGATAACTTATTGAGTGACCCTCGTACATTTTTTCCGCTAGGAAACGTATGAGGCTGAAACTTTGTGGCATGGAGATCCCTGAGTCTACATTTCAGAAGAAAAAATACTTCTCGCTAAAACCCATCAGGGCACATTTTTTAAGTTCCTTTTTCCTGAATTTCTTTTGATGTAACGAAACAGAGACAGAAAATTTAAACTTCCCTCAGAAGTACCTGTTTGCTGAGTACAGGAAAAGTCCTACTTCTAAAATATGTCCCCTCAGGGCGAATAATGGGAGGGAAGTATTCCAAGATTTATTTTGTGCTCTGACAAAAAGGGGCACATAAATATATTTGAAGTTACGCACACGAGAAGTCATTGGAGTAATGATTTCGATAAAAATCTCGGGTAAGTTTTTGCCACTTCTAAAATGAATTAATGAATTAATCACTATCCTAGATAATGGATTTAATTCACTTTTAGATATATAGACTCGCTATACGCCCCAATTCGCCCCCTCACCGTCAATCTGTTTCGCCTCCCACCCTCCTATGGCACCGTCTATGATTAAGACTCTGTTCAACAAGTGAGCTATGCAAAAGTCATGCTTCCATGAAATAGTTCACATTTTCACCTTCAGCCAAAAAAAAATATTGGAAGCCTGCAATATGTCCATGTCACTTTGTTTCGCTAATGGAAAACTGAAACGAAAGAGAAAAGTCAATGTTTTCTTGCTTTGCTCCTAGAGTGCTTATTATCTTCTTCATAGATTGTCGCCTTGACTAAAAACTTGCACATATTGTCGGTGAAAATGATGGAGTAATTAGCAGATCGATATCGGAAATGGTTTGGTTAAAATCTCATTTGCCCGGATTTGCATCTCGCCCCATTTTGCCCAACTTTCCCCTATATAATAGGGATGGCCATACTCCCTGGCGTTATGAGTTGCATGAAAAAATCATGATGCGGCTGAGAGTTGCACTGAAACTGCCTGGGAACTGCGCTACGCGTGACTCGGTTTGAATATCCCTAGTCGATTGTAATTTGATTTCCTCTGGCTATGATAGGACACCGCGGCGAAAGGCGCTGCATCTCATCATCAACATTGTGGCTTACCTAATGCACTTCGGTACGGGTTTCGCTTTCATTTTGAAGATAATAAAATCCTTTGAGAATGGAGGGCAATCCTTCCCCTGCATAGCAACAACCCAAGGCTCCAAATGCACAATTCCAAAATGTAAACATTGAATACACATTCCTGCGTACACTTGGTGTGAACCACAAACAGGTGACAGGGGCGATAAGATGTGAATATGAAACTAGATGGACGCCCCTCGGCAGTTGGATTTTCTCATACAAGGACATCCACCTTGTTTCAAGAAATTCAACTTTTCATAAAAGTTTTTTTAAGAAGTTCCAAAAATGCGATTAATTTCTTGCAGCCAAGAGACCTTTACTAAAAACCATTTTTTCTTTGCATAGGGTGAAGAAGCAGGGTGCAGGAACTGCAAGCAAATTTCTTTCCTGGGACGATTACAGAGCTATGAACGAAAAGGGAACTTGGACATTCGGGACCACCTCAAAATATACATGGGTGCAGACGATGAAAGACCCCTGAAGGAGACAGGAGAAGAATACGTGGCATTGCACTACCCTCAAGCCTACACCAAGGCATATTCCTTACCTGAGGGGTACATCTTGCACAAGAGGAAATTCACTGAACTCAGGTTAGAATCACTCAAAAAGGAAAAAGACGTCACCTTGCCCCCGGACCAACTTTCCGTTGCCATTGTGTTTGATAGAGTAAAAGGGGCATTGCAGGGTTTGCCGTCCCTCACAGTCCAGGATTACGCTTTCGATGACACCTTGCTCAAGGGCATGAACGAGAAACTGAAAAACAAATTCTTCCTGGAGTTTGGAGTGAGTAAAGATGACATAAAATCTGGTGATCACGACGTCTTCGGAACTGCGGTATCCGGATGTAACATCTTGGGAATCTTCTTTCAAATCAAGGCAGTAACATCCAAGACTAGCCAAAGGGGAATCTTTAATTCAATTCGGAAAGCAACGGAACAAGTCGAGAAAGATTTCAACATTTTTCGTACTCTATGTGGTGAATTCCTGAATCCGACCGTAAAGTTAGCTGGATTCGTAGCTTTACCGATGCTTTCGAAGATGGAATTGCAGAAACTAATCGAATGCAGTGACTGCAGGATGCGAATCCTCGTGTCTGAAGACGTGGATCATCCAGAAAGTTTCAGAACGTTTTTGGCGAGACACAATATCGTTTTGGAGAAACCTTTTGACTCGAATTCTGAGTGCCCAGTCATGAAGACCTTCAAGGATATCTTCGACCTTTATGTTTCTGCTGCATCAGCTCTGGACCTCCCACGAAATCCCCATCAACTGTACAACACGAGCGAGGAACAAATGAAAGAGATGACTGTGCTTCTCACTCCTCAACAAAGGAAACTAGCAAAGAGTGAATCAAGGGTCATATTCCTCGCTGGAGGAAGTGGAACCGGGAAGACCTTCGTCCTCAAGAGAAGAGCCTTGAAATTGCAGGAGAGAGGTGAAGTCTTGCTGATAAACGTCGCCGGAGGACTCTTGACTGAAGAGTTTCGATACGCATTTGAAGGTGAGAGAATACTGCTAAAACAAGTCCTCGGGGATCAAGTAGTTGTAGTGAAAACTTTTAAAGATGCCCTCAGGGTTATCTAGAATTTTTCTCCTATTTTTATTGAGCATCCATGCTTATTAGGATGTGCTTCGCCCCAGGACAACATTACTGTTTAAAGAACAAAATTAGTGCCCGGGTTGAGCAAATCCAATTTATTTTGACCTCGGGGTAATGAAAAATGGGTTACCTTTAACCAAGTTATGCAAATACACCAGTACACGTTCTCCCGGTAAAATTTGAGATATCACCTATAGAATCACGTGCCTCTGTTGGCCGTTTCTGTAGCTGGGTGGGGAATATATGTGACAATTTGTGTGGATACCATCACACTACTATCGGAGCCGAAAGTAGTCCTAAACCTTTCTTTAGGAATTCTGATATTTTTTGTCTACAAGTGTAAATTGGAATTGTTTTATGCTCATAGACGAACACGAACGCGCTATAGAGGTAAGCACGAACGGGAGAACAAAAAAGATAACTCATCCATGACCTCACAGATATTTCATTCCATTACTCAACCACCATAATATTTTTTCGAGCAGGGATGTCAGAGGTGATATATATATAGGTATATAACGGCACGGAAAGTAAAACTAACTGGAATGCATAAAATAGATGTTTTTAAAATAATTTTGATCTATTTGCGCTTCCTACAAGGTTTTGTGATGTGGCATTACTAAAAAGGACTTTTGATATTACGTTTCCCTCTAGGTATCCATTTCATTCAGCATGAAAAAATTGTTTTGAATGTATTCCTCCAGTAAGTAATGGGAAATAAACTTAGGGGATGTATACCCAGAATAATTTTAAGACCCTTCATATTCAATACATCTCCAAGCCTCTCAGTGCCTTACTTGAAAGCATATTTGTTGTCACTTTTAATACTCGGAAAGTTCCAGGTCTCGCCTATCGACATATCTTTACACGATTATTTTTGTAATTAATATTAATAGAAATAGTTTTCTCTCTTCGCCATTGAACTTTGGAGTGATTTCAGAAGTAGCTATAAAAGTAAGAGTCGGTGAAATTTTTTGTATTTGGGATTTTTTTAATCAATGGCAATTGAACACATAATGAGTAATTGTCGTGCCTTCATCTTTTTCATTTTTAAATATTTTTTTTAATGGAAAAGTAGCGCTGACGTTTCTCTGGTACTTTTCGGGAAATTATTTACGTCACATTCCACCGTCAAATTTGGTTTTGAGTTTCCAAAGACGCTGTTTCTGAGCTTTTGAGTTTTGAGTCAGTTTCCAGTAAGGCACATCCTCCAGAATCTTTGACCACGGAGAATTTCGCCCTTCCAAAGAAATCGGTGCTAGCCAAATCTCACGTGACCTGCTTCCAATGTCAGGAGTTTCTCAACATTGAAACGGCCGTATTTAATGCATTTAATAAATGCATTAAACAATGATTCACATGAGGGTAATCAAAAACTGTTTTTCAAATCGTGATACATATCAAGACTGGAATTCGTAACCACGATCCCGAATCAAAGCGGTTATTTGAAGTTTTGATAATTCCGGAAGAGGAGCATCCAACCAAGATTCGCTGCATGAAATGAGTCGGGACGCATTTGATTGATTTTTCTTTCCCCACCATGGCTTAAGAGTGATTGTGCAATTTCACGTTCGTGCATGTTTCGTTTATGGTGATTCGTATTGCAAAGTGCTGCTGCCTCAAATGTGCAAGCTTTTGGAGGATCAACGTTCGCTGCATGAGCTCAGGGAAATCTTATTCCATCACGACAGAGCATGTTCCTACACTGCCGCACGAAATTTAAACTTTTCATGCAGTTGGTTCCTAATCCACCTTATTCCGACCGAATGGTCCCATGCGACTTTTAACTTTTTGCAAAAGGCAACAGGGAGCTATAGAGAACATTTTAAAATTCAACAAACTAGGCACTTCCTGGCCTTGAAACTGACCTGGAAACGTTGTCTCCATCGGTTTGGAATTGTTCGTTCCAGATGTGGCTTGAGAGGATGAAAAACTTTCGTTTTTTGAGGAATACCTGAAAATAATCTACATTTTCCTTTAAAACTGTAGTTATTAGAAGCTACAGGCCAAAGACTTTCGTAGTAGCTTTCGTGTGCACAAAAGCAATTGGCAGACATCCACTGTAGCACATTGTTTTTTTTTTGTTGACAACAATAGCTACATATGCTTTCAATTTACACTCATATGACATGCATTACAGGAACACTTCAAACAGAGGAATTAACTCCAATGTACAGATTATTTTAATAAGTTTGTGCGTATGGGGCGCGAAGGGGAGATATATTTGTTTTGAAATAAGCAACTAATGTAAGCCTATGGAAAATCTATTTCCCGTTTTTTTCATCCAATCATTCAATCAGCCGTTCCTTGAAAAAGAAATTGTTTGGTTCAAAATTATAAAGAGAGAAATTCTATTGTTACGCTTGGAGAACAAGCAATGAAATCGTTGAAGTAGATCATTAATATGTATGCAGTGCTTTCACGGTTTGCATATACCGGCTGGCTGTGAGATGGTCTCTGTCTTGACAGGTAAGGATGGAATCACAGTCATCGATGGGAGAGAGAAAGAGTTTGAGAAGGACCCGGAGAAGTTCAAGAATTTTCTCGTGGAGATGGGGAAAGGGAAACATGTCCTCGTTGATGAGGTTCCCATCACATTAGGGTTTCAGGGCCTACTCACATCAGATGCCTTATCCGCACATTGGACTTGGATGGTCGAGTTGCAGGAACATTTCAAGTCTATTACTCTCGCATTCAGACCCAATGACCAGTCCTACTACAGAGACTTCCCCCTCCAAGA